TTATTATTATTATTATTACTATTATTATTATTATTAATGGTTCACAACGCACGCACAAGTAAGTGTTTTGCTATATAATGAACATTATTCAGTGACATTTTAACGATGGATGGGTCGGTGGTCAATTAACTTAGTTAACGATGTTCATTTTATTTCATTATTTTTCCAAGATATTTACAGTTACAGTTATGCGAGTACGAGTACGAGTACAGTAACTGAACAGCGCTAACTAACTTTCTCTGCAGTTTAATCCACTTTAATCCGTATCATATCAGCTGCGCAAAGCAAATTCAATAATAAGCCGAGCAAATGCCATTGCACTTCATCGTCAATACTCATTTGAATTTTCCAAAGTCAACGAACACAATAAGCGAGCTAGCGCTATTATAAAGAAACCTCTATGGATTTGATGACGAAGACATGGTCGGTCGTGTGATAATTGATGAGGACCACACGAAACGACCACGGACATTATAAATTACTATAAAATATAGTTTGGTGTGAAAAAAAATGGTCTGAAAAGAGTAATTGAACTGAAAAGAACTCAGTTAATTTATAGAATGTACAGCTACAGCTACAGCTACAGCAGCAGCAGCAACCTCTGACGATTGATGAAAACATTGAAAACGAGCAGGCAGGCAGGCAGGCAGCCTTAGCCGCCGTAGCATTAGTAGCCTAAGCCTAAGCCTAAGCCTAAGCCTAACAAGCCACTAGACTCAATCAAGCCCGGCTGATTTGTTTTAACGAATGCTGCCTGCAAAAAAGCAATGACGACCACAAAAAAAGACGAAAACGTGCGAAATATGTATGTGTGTATGTAATCTGAGATGTTTCTCCAAATGAACTGCTGCTGACTGCTGACACAAGCACATGTTGCTTAGGCTGATGCTTCTGCTGCTGCTGCATTCACTCACATTGCCTTTAGCTGAGCAGATTCATCATCATCTAGTTGTCGTGTGGTGCCGTTCGTTGATTTTTGCCGCCGTTAAAACTTCTCTACACAGGAAATATTTCAAAAGTTTTTCACATAAATTTATCTATAATACATGTCCATATCCATATCCATATCCATATCCATATCCATATCCATAGCCATAGCCATAGCCATATCCATAGCCATAGCCATAGCCATATACATATGAACATTAAAAAATATATCCATCTATGTATATGTACTTATACATATACGACGTGTTTATGAATTAATGCAGCACGGATAAGTGGTCAGATTACGGCGGGTAGATGATGATACTATCATCGTAGATGTGATATGTTTAACGTTGGCCAAAAGACTAGAAATGTCATAAAATAGGACTGAATTGAAAACGAAACCAATTAAACGAACCGTTGACTGACTAATACAATGATTTACTAACAGATACCAAGCGAGTGCTTTCTTTAAACGAGATGGTGCACAGTAAGAGTAAGGTATGAAAGCTATAAGCAGCTGTAAGTCTCATGCTAATGATCTAATCTAGGCACTAATCAGAGTATTATACTTGTTCGATCAGATCAGAGAGTATTCAGCGGTCATCACTACTCAATTACTGAATCAAGACCAGTGATAAAATTCACTCTTCACTTCACACCAAATTCACTCTTCAAACCAGAAAAGCACTTGACTGATCACAAAAACGGTCACACATCAGCCGAAAAAAAAACGAACGCTATTCCGGAGATTCCGGCGATTCCGGAGATCAGCGCAAGTTTCTGCACAGCAAGTTTTTGATCAGCGTAAGACAACTACATATATAGCAAACAACTAGCCGTGTACTTCAGCTAAACCTAAGCCTAAGCCAGTCAGATAAATATATCTCTTGAGAAATGAAAGCATATGAGAAGAGGACGACGACGATGACATCGCATATTTTTGTTCTTTACCTACCTATCTACCAATATAGATGGATGTCTTGTGGCTACTGCTGCTGCTGCTGCTGATGGCACAAGACGACAATATTGAAACATTATATGGGCAATTATTATTCATGTGAATGAATATGGAAGAATTTGAAGAAGTGCGGCTTTTTATGATTACTTACTAAATACCTTCTTGTTCCCATCTTCTAATATCGCTTCTTGTCTCAATAGCTGCTGATGCTGCTTAGTGATGATATTTTATTAGAGAATTACAAATGGCTTATTGCCGTTCTCAAAACAACCTAAGCAGAGCATATTTGAGAAGCATTCATCCATCCATCCATGGTTGCTCACCAAAACCATTTCTATCTAATATGGTCGTCGTTGAACTGATATTACGACGACGACACTGCTCATGCTGATTGTATTTTATTCGTTGGCTCTTAAATTTTCTCATTTTGAACTGCTCAAATCACCCATTTCTCAACAAGCAATAATACAAGCAACTATTTATTTATTTATTTCTCTTATTTGCTCCTATCTTCTTCACTCAACACAACCAACACACACGCACGGTAACGAGCAGTCCAGATTGAAACAAACCATCAGGGATGATTTCAAATTCAAAAATTACAAAATCAAATTCTCTTTCGCAATCAACCAGTCAAATTCCAATTTCTAGATATAACTAAGATCGATCAATATAGATATAACTATAAATAATATAGATATAATATGGATATAACTATAACTAATATCTTAGATATATTGGTTGTTGACAAAATTTATAGATAACTAAAAAATTCTCAAATGAAATAATAATACGTCTTCAAGTGTCAATAAACAAATGAATTCGAATCGAATAAATTTTCCCAAGCAATCATCATCAAAGTACTAATAATGATAACAATAATGTGCTCTCTCGCTCGTTCCTATATGTCAACTATAAACGAGATGATGATGACGCTGAACGCAACTTAAAACAATGCAAATTAAAACGGTTGCTATGTAAACTACTAATTCCTGATCAAGTAAACTAACCGGAAATCCGGTTAGATCCGGAAACGCATGATGATGAGCTGATCTTACGGCTGTTTCGGTGTCAACAAGTTTGAAGTTTAAAGTTGAACCCTTCATAAAACCTAGAAACGCAAATTCATTTTAAATTTTAAATTCAGTCTTTACAATAACAAATAAAATGTTCACGACGTACACAACTAGGTGGTTTAGAAGCAATTAGAAGCAACAAGTGGAAGTAAACAACAACCATACACGATAGTACTGCAGTAAGCAGTGAGCAGTAATCAGCACTAGCAGTACATTTCAATGAACTATTCTATTGATATTACTATGATCCATTCGATCGAATTCGATCGATCAATATAACAACAACAATTGCATGCCCATGATTGAATAATACCCTTACAGACAGACACACTCTACTTTTTTGAAGAAGAACAAGAACAATAACTTACTAGTACCATTTAAATACTACTTACTACTTACTGCTATTACTATTACTACTATAGCAATTACTAGCTGACTATAGCACCTAGCAATCATATCGTGTATCATGATTATGCTTTTATTACTTTACTTAAATAGCACCCACCACTCACTCACATACACACACACACACTATAAATTACTTACTACTAGTGAGGAGTGTCTACTAGCGTTTCTAGCAGTATTCAGTAGTCGTCGCCTGGTCATCATTAAGAACAAACGATAATCACATCAGATGATCATCTATCTCTAGAGTGATGCATGCTTTTGAAGAGGGTGAAGTATGCAGTGAATACTGAAGCGATGTAAGCACTGGAATACCAATTAGATAACAATTGAAATATATGCTGCTGCTAGTTTGATGATGATAATGAGCATGATGATGATACAAGAAGACGAACACATAATTATGTTCATAGAAAATAGGCAGGCAGGCAGGCACGGCAATAATTGGCTGCCATTTGAATGTGAATGAATACTAAATGACTAGTAAAAAAAACTTAAAAGGTTGTTAATTTAAGGAGTATAAATAGAAATGTAAATGTAAATGTAAATTTAATATGTAAATTAAAATGTATGTAAATTATTCAATGTAGAAGATCATTATGAGAAACCGAGAAAGCTCTTATTCACATGAGAAAGTATTATAGGTAGTAGATGAACGTGTAATGTATTATTGAGAGACGATTTCATTTGAACTCAACGAATTTTAGCTGGCTGGCTGGCTGTACTCTTGCATACATATCATCAAAACTGAGCTGAGCAATTGAATTTCTTCACTAAATTTCTTTTCACTAAATTTTTTATCACTAAATTATCCATTCATCCACCCATCCATCCATCCATCTATCTATCTATCCATGGCAATAGGATTGATTCTGTTGACTACTCGATTTGTGCGTACTGAATTGAATTTCAGCAGCAGCCTAAACTGCTCTTAAACTCAATCTACATTTAATCCACTCCTCTCAAATCATTTTCAGTCGTTTGCTTTTGATCATGTCAAAATAATTGGCCAGTGAAACGATGCGCAGTCAAGTTAATTTAGGCATTATTTAAGCATTTATTTATTCATTCAAATTTTCGTTTATTTCTTTCTATGCGTTTATCCATCTGAATTTGTTAAAAAAACAACTGCAACTTGATCACTCGATTCAATACAACACTCAAATACGCTATTAGAGTTCGCCATCATCTACCTTAAAGGATAAATATCCTCATTGTCGCATTATCGCATCCATCCATCCTCATCATCTTCTATAACAAATCCTTGCTGCAGCCATCTCATGCATCCACTCAAATCATCCATGATTTAATCTTACGTACATCTTATGCATAAAACATTACTTTTAAACTAACAATTACTTACTAAAATATCAATATCACTTACTTACTTATCAATATTACTTACTAAAATATCAATTACTTACATATTTACTTATAAATATCATTAAAAATATTACTTTTCATCAATCATATCACTACATTACTCTGCACTAATCTTCTCAATATTGTAAAGCAAGCATTATTCACTCAGCGGTTGCATGCATCCGCACGAATATTTTGAACGCACGATCTATTTTCGTGGAATGCACTCACTTCTATCATTTCAAAAAACAAAACAATTTTATGCAAATTAATCAGCAATATGCATGAATATGCATAGCTGCCGCCGCCTGCCTATAAAATACACAGAAGTGGATAAGATTATCTTTATCTTTCATAATCAAATTCATCTGATCGATCCAGTCAGCATGATCGCCCAATTGATCAAGCGAATTATAAATTCAGATCACAATTTGGCTTCTTCCATCAATTGCTTCTAGCAATTAATGTGACGACTGTTGCCAAGCAGGCAGCTACTCTCAACCTCTTTCTACAACTGGAACACTCGAATAGTCACAGTCTACCGTGCCGTCCCGTTCCACTGTCCAATCAGGCAGCTCAACTCAACTGAACTAAGCCTAAGAGCCATGATAGAGTCTCAATACTCAAAATAAAAGTAATTTGTAATAGTAACAATTATCGTAACGGTCGTTAAAACTGAACAAGCGGTCAATAGAGCAAATATGCTCAATATTCTGGTGTCCAAAGTAGTAAAAAGTAAAAGTAAAGTAAAGTAAAACAAAGTAAAAAGCTCGCACTACATATAATACATGTTAAAAATTTAGCGTTATTCTAGTATTTTTTTCATTTCATTTCACGTCTCTAGACACCACACATTATAAACGTTCAGTTCATTCGAGTAATTTCAAAATTTTAAAGAATTGAATTTTAAAGAATTCATTTACTAACCCTATTACTACTATATCAGTGGCAGCAGCATCAGTTAAAAGATCATCAGCGGAGCATCTACCCTTCCTCACATATCTATCATATCGTACCAATCGTCAGCTATGAATTATTTGAGTTGCTCTTTTTTTTCTTAGTCTCGTTTAATTAATTAATTAATTAATGCATATTTAGTTACTACCTGAATAATCTACACAGTATGTTACAGTAATATAAGAGCTGCAGCACAAAGATAGTCGTCAATGAGTACTCGAACTCTGATCGATCGAATTCTGATCGAATCATCTGATCTGATCGAACACTCAGATCGAATTCTCGATTCATAAGAGCATTTTTGCATTAAACATCGTTGCAATGTCAACATTTAAAGCAATTGCCAAGTTATTAAAGACCGAGCGATCACTTTAAACGCAGTCAAAACAATTGAATGCCTGGTGCCCACCCACTCTCACTGCTACAGCAACTAACCAATTACTTGTTCGTCTAAGAGTAAGAGTACTGCGTTCAAAGAGCTAGATTACTGTAGTATTCAAAGAAGAGAGCAAATCACTTTAGAGACGCCGCACGATATCTATCAGAACCTTTAAAGAGGAGGAGACACACACACTACGGTAGGTAGCAGAGCAGCAGCACACGAATGAATAAATTGACGAACAACCAATTAGATTGCTTAGAACTGACCTACTGCTCGTCACCACACCAGATAAAGCATCCATCCATTATCCAGTGAAAGCAGCGAAATTTATTCCGCTAATTTATCCCCAGCATCGTTAAGTTGAGTATCGGCGAAGCAACTGATTCAGCAGCGATCTGCTGCTGATCCATCCAGCTGATCCACTTTCTACGATTACTGCTGCTGGCTGCTGCTGCGTTGCTTTCAAACACGATGTGATCGCTAGCTCGCTCGACTGATCAATCCTGATGTGATCAAAGCTCGCTCGACTGATCAATCTTGATGTGATCAAAGCTCGCTCGACTGATCAATCCAAACTTCTGCAGATCAGCACCTAAATGTTTCCTGCTATATCATTGTATGTAACGAAACATAACGAAACAATTGAATTGTCATTAAACACAAACAACACTATTCATATACAATAAAGTTGAAATTGCAATACATTAAATTTGAATTTGTCACCACCATTACATTGAATGTATTTTTTGCATAGTAATGTTGTAAGAGTAACTAATTGTAAGAGTAACTAACTGTAAGAGTAACTAATTGTAAGAGTAACTAACTGTAAGAGTAACTAATCGTAAGAGTAACTAATTGTAAGAGTAACTAACTGTAAGAGTAAATAAACTGTATAAAACAGTTGATTTTTTATTGTAATTTAAGATTATTCATGCATGCTTTATTTGTTGGGTACATCGCAAAATGAATTCGTCGTATATTTTTTGCATTTGAATGATGACGCATTGTTAAATAATTATTTTGTTTGTTATTTGTTCTATTGCATTATAAAATATTTATGTGTATTTGTTTCGAATGAAGAAATATTTCATAGTTTATATTTATAGTTTAAATGTTCGTTCGTCATCAAATCGTATTCTATCGTTTCATTTTACACCTATCTATCTATCTATCTATCAATCTCGCTCAATTCCACGTGCCACAGCACACCGCACCGCACATCGATGACTCACTTAGTCTCTGATTTTGAATTCATTTCAGAGCTGAATTCAGTGGCTCAATTCAAGTGATTGCATTCAATTTAGAAGTGCTCGTCGTCTTGGTGTGTTGCCTGCCTGCCTAGCGTCCGTCGTTCCGTCGTTAGTTTGCCTGCGTGCCTTGATCAACCGGCGAAATATATATGTAGTATGCATTGTTGTTGTTGTTGTATCAAATCAAATCTACTTCTACTACTTATAAATGAAGAGTTTCAATTGAAAGAGATTTTTCAAAAAGAGATCAAATTAAATTCTCACTATAATTATTGACGCGACCACGTTCACATTTGATCGAATTTGATCAAATCGAATCGAATGCATCATGCATCATGCATGCATGCCAATCCAAGCCACGTAGCATTCCCAACTACTACAGTATACATGTAGCAGCAGTAGCACACCCATATATAACACCACAACGGCATCGTATTCATTGTTGTGATTTCGTCGTCGCATAAGTTGTGACCGAGCGACCTCAAGTTGTTGTTTTTTGGTTTGATCATACTGGCTGCTGCTGCTTTACGATCGTATAAACCAGATTTGCGCGCTCTAGATGATGGCAGCTCTAGATCGTGCGATGTCTGCAGTAATCTGAAATAAAATCTCAAATACGTGAACACGGCTTCTCCCACCTCCCTCCATCGTACTGATAAATGAAGCATGATGCA